TTTTAATGTTGGAAATTTTTTAGAGTGAGCATAATTCTTAGCAACATTATTTATGACTGGATCACTATTGTCGCTCGATTTATTTTTTTCCGCATGGATTGTCTTGCAATTTACATTTGTAGTATTAGTAGGAGAATTTGAAGACATTTCACCATTAAAACCGTTGTTTATGGCAACTTCTTTAATATTATTACTATTAGTACTTGTCACTAGTGGACTATGCCTGATTTTACTTTGCTGAGTATTATTTGGAAGTAATTTCGACGTTGATGCGTGCCTTGATATAGTAATATTAGTATTTTCAAACACGGGACTGTCTTTTGATTTTCCTGTTAAGATATCTCCAGTAGTTACCTTCTCGATTGTTTTAGAGCCTGAAAATTTTGAATTATTACTATTGGCTTCATTATTTTCTCCTTCTACGATATTCCGATTCGTCCTTTCTTTTAGATTAATAGCTGTAGCTATAATATTAGTTATTTTTTCTTCGCTTAATATTAATGCAGATCTAGAAGAACTCGGTTGTGCTATTAAAGTATTGGTAACTTGTTCATTAATTTTGTTTATATTTGTATCTGCTATGTTAACACTACTATTGTTTACAGTTATTCTGGTGTCATTGCTAATGGTTCTTATACTAGTTCCAACCTTTGCCAATACTTTACTTAAATCTCCTATGTTTATCTCCTTAAAATCTCCTTTATTTTGTTCAAAATCTTGAGATATTTCTTCATCATCTGATATTATAATTGTTGTCATGATTGCGTGAGTACGTTGTTTATATTTTCACAAAGCACTGCCGACATTTATTTCTGTTCTCATCCAATTTACCCTCTCATAGCTCAGTTACTTATATTATAGAGGGAACATAAATTTTTGAGGCGTAGTAGGTATTAAAGATTATTAATGTTACTTGATGATATGCATTGACGTATTGATTTTCTTAACTTGTACGAAGAATTATTTCAATTACTTTGCTTATCTGTTGATTGTTGATTATTATCTGTAACAAATTGCTTTTTTTAATGTACACTGTAGTAAACAATTTATATTCGCACGAAACTCTCTTTTGCTTATCCGATTTATCTATACGCACAATGTCCGTTTAACATCCGTCAGTACAAGACTTCACGTGTATTTTTTATATAATTGCAGTGGCAAACGGTAACAACCACTTTATGGTAAATGGTAAACGTCATCTATACATGTATAATAACACCCACGATAACAATCATTCGTTGCTATTCCAGAATAGAATAGAAATAATTTTTATTCAAATAAACTCAATATAGACACTTTTGAATAGTCATAATTTTAATTCCACCACTCATTCGGAACGCAGACTCGTCACAAGAAGAACGATCAAGAAACTCGCGTGTTACTCTTTTGAATAAATGTTATTTTAAATAAATAAATACACAGTAACAAGTAGGAGGCATGCGATAATCAACATAGAAACTAATACGCAGTCATTCTCAGTGCAATTAGATAATATTGTCAGCACTATTAATTTTAATTTTTTTCTACAAAAATAAAAGCAATTAGATGTCATATATCTCACTTCACTTACACACACCTGAACACAGAAGAGAACGGTCTTTATTAATGGTTGAGTTAACGTGAATATTTAGAATATATTTTTGATAATAAATGTAGACGACAGGACTACAATACCATAGGGATCTCTGGTCTGCGGTCGGACGGTATGAAATGTTTATGCTTCTCTGTTTTCGCACTATGTAGGAAGGCACCTATCTACCCACTGGCTCGGCAGTGAATGCGGCCTGCTGCTATTTTTTCGGACTACTCTAATACTGTCGGCTGCCGCTGGCCTTCACTCCTTACTTTAGCTTCCGGACTATACTCGTGAATACAAATGTTTGTACCATTCTAGGATTCGAACACAAGACCAACAAAAATAAAGCCAAATATCACTGAAGCCGTGAAATGCAATTTGAACAGTGATGCCTCATCGCTGAAAGGGTAAGGAGTATGGTATAAAGAAAATGTAAACAAAACACTCACCGGTGGTGTAACTAAGTAGGTACGTCGTTACAAACACCTACATGAAATAACAATGATCGCAACACTAATAATCTTATCAAAATTTCTATGTAATTAGATATTTTTATCGATTATTTATTCCACTGTTATTTTAATCTGATATAATATTAAAATAGTTATTTTTCAACAGTATTTATATTAGCCGATTAGTATTATATTATATATTAAAAAAAACAAACAACACTCTAGTTTACTTTTTATTTACAATAGATGCTACACTTTATATGGAATCGCATACATAATCGAATAATAATTCACACAGCGGCATCTAGACCCAAGTTAAGCTAGCTAAAGCTTGTGTTATGGGTACTAGATAACTGATGCAAATACATATATAGATAGATAGATAGACAGAGTTACTTTAGCATTTAAAATATTAGTAAGGAAGTAAGGCTAAGTGATCTATGATAGTCGCTAAATAGTAAATCGGGAGTGTGCATTGCATTTTTCGACTTCTTAAATTATTAATAATTCTTGTGGTTTCCTATATAATATGGACTGTTACATTTTTATCTCCGTAAATAAAGAACATGGTCCAAGACAGTTTCTGTCCTTATATTAATATTATAGTAATTGTCATATAAGTCATATAAATAATTAAAATATTTAAGCAATAAAAATAATTGCCGTAACGAACTTGGCAGTAGACTGGCTACAGTAACAATGGGCTCGATTGCTTTGATGTAAGTTTGAATACTAATGCTTCATTAAAATTAATACTATAAATTTACGAAAATATTTACAATGAATGAGCAAGATGAGTCTGCGTTCCGAATGAGTGGTGAATCAAAAGTTGACTGACTATTCAATAGTTCTTGTTATTCTTCATTCAAAGAATTTATTTGAATAAACAATAATCTTTATTCAAATAAATAAGAATAATAATCAGAAATAACTATATTTCTACTTTTATAAATATATGACGCAATCAGAATTTCGTCATATATATGGAAATTTCTTTTATTATAACAAACATAAAAACAAAACCTAATTAAACAACGTTATTTTAACCTTTTAAGTATCATCTATATACTAGTAAGCAAGGAATATTTTATTCTGTAATTATATTATTTTTATTGTGAAGTCTATAGTTATAACAAGAAAGATGTAAACTTCCTTCCTCTCTGTACAATAAAATAGTAAAATCTGTGGTCCAGTGTAAAAGGCGAAAAGACAACAAACCTTAATAAGCATTAGTAATAAACCTAACAAAATCTTAAATAAAGGTGGAGCTTTTCAATTTGATTGTATTTTACCAAATTAGACAGTGTAAAGTCGTTTGCTTAAGTTCCTATGTCCAACTAATTCAGCTGCCGAACAGCTTGCTTTGTACTCTGTTATAAGATATGGCTGCATTACAAGGTATGCAGATGTAACTCTCTAGTTCTCGGGAATCTCAACATAAGACAGATGTCACGACTATACAATATAAGTGGTATTGTTTATGCACACATTTGTCATTCCAAGAAAAACAACGGATTACTGTAAAAAAATATTTATTACTTAAAATTATCACTTCATGTACTATACTATACTTTTCCTAAAAATACACTTATACGTACCCAATAATAATGGCATGGAAATAGTTAGTTAATAGGGCAAAGTTACATGAGTGGCTGATTGTAAATAACTTCTACGGTATAAAGGAATATTTGACATACATTAACTTTGACTTCTTGTAATTATAGTTTTAATAATACTGATTGACATTAGTGGAATACTGCGTCATGTTATTCTGTTGTGGTACCTATTATAATGTTTTCAATGAAAAGAAATTTAATGACATATATAATAATATTTCTATCAATTCCAATATTTGCAAACGTTATGAGGTGCTGCATGTCGTGTACTTTTATTATATTGTAAATTCAAAATTACCATGTTTGATACATTCAAATAAATAAATTATTATTATTATTAATAAAATTACTAAAATTACTGGATCCTCCATTCTCACCTTCCCATCATACCCAGTTAGAAGCTGATTCAAGCTACATGTATGAGTATGTTCTATATAGCATTACTAGTAAACAGCCGTACACATGATGTTATCAGGGTATACCCATATATTGATGTATGAAATGCTATCGATAGACTAAAATGTCACTTCTCTAGGGCGACAGTAATGCACGTTCTCACGTTGCGCTAACCCGATCATCATTAAGCGGAATTAATTTGATGCTGCTTTGAGTTTAATTGTAAACAAAACGTGGTAGCATTCTTCCCACAGTGATACACGATATATTGTCATGTCGAAATTGCACATCTAATAATATAAATTATTCGCGGAATGCGAGAAAGCGATAACTATTCCGATTTACAATCAGTGGTTATTTCAAACTTGACCCACAACATAAATCTTAGTTGGTCATACAGGGGCGGATCTACCTACGGGCTTTTTGGACTGCAGCTCGGGACCCCGTGGATACAAAGGGCCCCCAGCCTCCACTGGAAACAATAGGCAATATTTAGATTAAAATAAAATCAAAATATTAAAAGTTTATCATAAGGTTGACAACCCTGAGATCAATTAAACCATGGATATGCGCGTCTATCGAACGGAACGGGAATTCCTCGTCGCTTATTTTTGGTCTGTGTATTTTTTTAGTTGAGTAATATAATTGGGTAGACCTCTAAGTTTTAGTCCAGGGCCCAACAAATTCACGATCCGCCCCTGTGTATTATATTGTTCGGAAGGAAAGGGCTATAACAAAATCTAAACTTTTTCCGAGAGACAACAGTAGGCTCGCTATCTGCCCCGTTGGATTCATGCATATCCAACAAAATATGAACATATCAAGAATTACATTCACCACAGCGTCGATAACAACGTCTTTAATCGATCTATCCGGGATTACAACCGTGACGGTATATTACTGTAAAGTAACATCAGAATCGTAACCGAAATGCTTTCCACATTTTTTTTTATCAGCTGATCAAACTCCTGAATCCTGTTTACTGTCGTTATAACTATTCTGCTTCTCTTCTTTGCTGTTGGTTCTTGACTTATTTCTATGCCATTTAAAACCTTATTTTTACAAAGACATTACTCGTAATTAACATTTGCAAACATTCGGGACTGTAACAATGCACGTCATTCAGATACATTACTCATGTCATAGGTACTAGTTAGTATTTATATGATACTTGTGTTTGTGCATATCTGCAAGTCTATGATACCCAGTGCTATTTGGCGGTACTTTGTCCATTAATTCTGATAATTTCTTGCATCTCAAAGTCGTAAAAATTGGAGAATATCCCGGCGTTGGGTTTGATACTCTGTCTGATAATTTATGTTGTCGTACAGGGACATTTACTCTCTTTTCATATCTATTCATGTAATGTATATTTTCGTTATCTTCTGTCTTGTTTTCTGATAATAATTTTGTACAGTTGTGCTTCCCTTCAGTTGTGTTTGTGTCCTTTTGTACGCTATAGTATTGCAAATGGTTTCCTCTATTTACAGAATTTACATTATACTTCTTTACATGACTTCTATCTGTAACTCTTTTCTTAGATTCTTGTCTTCGATACATATTCTTATTGTATGTTAAGTCTAAAGTTTCAAATCTATTTAATTTATTATTCTTATTGTTGTTTTGGTGTCCATTAATATTTTTATAACTAGATCCATAATCGCTTGATAAATGTGCAGGTGGTGAATAATACTTGCGCGTCTCTTGATGTTGCTTACTATTACCTTGCTGTTGAGGTAAATGAGAAGGCTTTTGAAATATTGATGAAGGAGGCGACAACCGTGTCTCAGGTGGGCGTAACGAAGTTGTCGGTAAAAAACTGTATAAAGGTGGTGCCGAACCTGGAAGCGATTGTTGTGTTTGTATTTGTTGAGGCACTGCCCATTGGGATGAATTACGTGAGTTTGATGATTGCAAAGGATTTAATGGCGAAGGTGATGACCGTACAGGCGTAGATAATTGTTGAGGAAGATCATCAATTGTTTTGCCTTTATTTATTTTTTCTGCGTCAGGTAGGTTTTTCTTCACTGCACGGTTTCTTGCATCAATTGCCTCTTTAAATTTGCTGTTAGACGTCATATTTGTAATTTTCTTTTTGTGTAAAGTATATGGATGCGCGACGGGTAATATTTTTATATTAGTTTTCTTTTCTTCAACACGATATCGGTGTGAAGACGATTTGACTTTTCCAATGTCTGGTCTAGTCTTCTTTTTAGAATTATGTGATTTTTTATCATTCCCACAAATATCCTTAGATTCATTTTTTATATAAGTGGTTTTGGTACACACATTAGATGAGCCATGTTTAGTGTGAGGAGCATTATTACTACCTGATTGTAATAATAAAAATGTACTATCTGATTCAAATTCGAGAAATGGAAATTTTATATCCTTTTTTACACCGTCCGTTGTAATTTTATTTTGTGGTACCTTATTGCCGGTATCTGTTTCTCTATTAATCTCATTAACGTTTGTTTTTTTGACATTCTTTGTTACGTATAGATGATTGGAATCATTATCTAAATGTATTTCGTTTGTGTTATCAAAAGTTTTATTTGTATTTGAATTATTTTCTAATGTGGCTTTAAACTCATGAAGGCTGCTATTTTTCTCACTGATATTATTATCGCCGTTTTCATACAAAGTTTTAGTATTTGTATTTAATCCTACTTGCTTATGATGACTAGGAGCTCTATTCTTATGTGTTTCTAAGGAAGAAACAGAATTATCTGGTTTAGAACATAACAAATCCATTCTTTTTGCTATGCCCTTGTCCTGATTACCTGTATTTTTATCATCTATTGTAATTTTTTTCAGTATTACATCATTGATCATTTGAGTCTCTTCATTATGTAGAAGGGCACTATTATTATTTTCAATTCTAATATTAGTGTTATTATCTTTATTTGAATGTATTTCATTCTTTTTAGGCTCATCAAGTACATTACTTCTATTTAAATGGTTTTCAGACGCAGATGTTAGTTCTGACGTTGATATAATACTTCGACTATTTTTATTATTTGTTTCTTTTTCTTGTAATTCATTTTCATTAATGTTGCGAGGTTCTATCACTGTAGCATTAGAAATATTATTAATAGATGTAAGATCAGTTCCGACACTCTGAAATGCCGAATCAACATCATCTAAGTATGCATTGCGTTTGGATGATTCCTTTTCAATTTCTATATATTCAATGTCGTCATATTCATCTTCCGAACCTATATCAATGACAATATTGGTTCGTATAATTCTAAGACCTATCAGTCTATTCATATTATTTTTTGACTTGACACTTTGATTTTTAAGACAGTCATTAGTATTTTTCAACCTATCATTCATGTCTAGTACTCTATCCATTCGCCTTTTAAAGTGCAATGGAAACTTAACACAATCTATAACTTTAATGCTAAGTGGGCAACAAATGGTTAATAATCTTATGTTATTGGCAATATCGAAGAAAGACACGGGCACAAATGATTTCCGTCTGTACGAAGATACGTATTTTAGTTCTTCTTTGTCTTTATGTTCGCTCTCTATTGTTTGTTTATTTTCATCGATTTCTGTAACAAATTATATAGTTTAAGTATATATGGAGACGTAGTGAACTTATAACCAACGCTGACTTTGAATTTATTACCTATTTTTAAACCAGACCGATAACCAGCTTACATGACGTACGTAAAGTAATAAAGAACCAAATTGTAACAGTATTGAATAAAACCTGTAATATAATGAACAATTTATCTTCTCTAATAGATATGCTACTCTACTCTAAAAGTAACAGTTGCAGTAACTCATATTCTTCAATCTAAACGTTCGAAAGGATCAAAGAGCACATATCAGCTGACAATTACATAAGTCTGCGATTGTCGATTATCTGCTGAATGAATTGGACAAATTACTAGATTAATTTGCATGCCTAAAGTCTCTCTTTGCATGCTTCTTTATTAATCGCTACTATCACTTTGATATGGTACGGGGGGCGATACCAAGATAGCGAGTTGTACGACAGTAAAAGTACAATGAAATATTTTTCTTACTATGTAAGTTTTAATTATTTATTTTATTGTCTTTTCTTACTTTTATTGTTTGCACTCCTGTGACCCTCACACCACTTCCTGTGTCACGCTGTTTTGGGTTGACTACAAGAGATCTCTTTTAGAGATAAGTCCTCCTTTGCAAACATAATGTCTAACATGTATTTGAAATATATTTAAAAAAGTTTAATGAAGAATATATATATATAAAGAAGAGCGGAACCTCCTGGCACAGGCAATTTTATGCTTAAAAGGAGATTGCAACAACTGTATAGAATTTAGTAAAAATTGTGTTACCTAAATAAAGAATTTTAATTTTTAAAATGATGTCGTATCGCGATCTTTGACTGCTAGCGCCTATTGATAATGACATCACTGTACCCAGTCAACTTGTGACCATGACTAGTTCAATCTAGACGAAATGTCGATAGAGGTAAATAATAAAAAACCTTTATATCCATAAAATTATTCGTGTTAAGGTATTATAAAGTATCTTAGTATAGTGAGTTTCAATCAGGCTGATACCTGAAAACTTTGAACTAAATCCGAGACACAGCAGTAGGCTCTCGGGGACGGTCTAATGCAACAAACGTCTACAGATAGTCAATAGATAGAAATAGAAATATTTGGTATTCATATAAACTTAGTGTAAATATATTTACATATAAAATATTTATAACTATATTACAAGTTATATAAATGAGATACCATGGTAATATTGTTTATGAGCCCATATATCAAGACTTTTAGAAACGTCTTGGTCACGAGTTGACAGGAGATGGCGGTAGATCAACAATAACCTTAGTAAATTGTCGTGACACTTATCCTGTAATTTAACTGCCATATTTCCATATCCCCCTTCAATCAAAACACAGATTACAAAGCTAGCTGCTGAAATAGAAGACGCAGAAGTACGCAAACGATTTTGTGCAAAGTTCTCTTTAGTGTGCTCTCTTTAGTGCTACTCACTGATTAACTCCGTTCTGTACTCTGCTGGTTGCTCGTAACCGAAAAGCGTTATAGGATCAGTCAAGTCTTCGTCGACCACTTCCATCAGCGGTATTTGTTCAATCTGATGACAAACAAATATAAATAAATACAACTTTTGTCGTCCGTGATGTACTGACAGGATAAAATGGAACTCCTTCTATACATATATAGCTGAATAGAACTGATTTTTTTTTTCTTTAGCAAAAGAACCAACCCGCCCAAGGTGCCTTACTGGCTTGGCACGTTGATTCTTTTGCTAACGACAAAATTTGATTGAATTTTTATATTTGACAAATTTTATGACAATGGTTGGATTACGTTATTGCAAATATTTTAGAGGTATTACTATTTTTTTAATACAGTATTTCCTAGGTTAATTGCTAATAAAATAACCTGTTAATTTTGTTGAGAATTGTTTTCTGTTTCAAAGGTACATTATTCACAAAACTAACAAATCTATGAACACTCTGGCGAAACCAGATTTTATTAATAACACAATTGTATGCATTCGCTTTTGTATCATATCGTTACGTCATTACGTATAAGGTAAGGTAACCACTAAGTTAACTAGGGCTGCCACCTCTACCTGTCTTTTAAACAAAAAAATATTTTTGTTATCTTATTAATATTATAAACCGCGAAAGTTTGTGAGTATGGATGGATATTAATTACTCTTTCGCGCAAAAACTATTGATTGAATGAATATAGCTTAAAGAATATTTATTTAATTTAAATTAAATAGCCTATATTTTATTCTAATGTAGGTATAGCTAGTTATTAATAAAAAATATAATTAATACGTATAAGAAATTTAATAAATATACACATACTGTATGAAAACTGTATGTATTATATTTTTTATTATTTATTAATTATATTTTTTTGCTATGATGTCGATAATTTCATCAGAGAATAAAATGCTACAACCGAAATACCTGTTTTTGTAGATTATATATTACAGTTACAATAATAAACCTGGATAATTATCACAGCGTCATCTATACCAAGCTAACCATAGCTTATGTTATGGATACTAGACAACAGTTAGAAATATCATAGTTAATTACATTGTTTTATACATAAATAGAAAATACCTACCCAAATACATATAATCATACTCAAGAAAAATAAGGAAACGAACTCGCGGCCATCAGAATTAAAGCGGTCTGCTAAACCACTAAACATCCCTGGACGTCCAAAATATGTACAGTAAGATACTATATTATGTTACATCTTTATATATAAAAATTACGTGTCACGTTGTTTGTCCACGATGAACTCCTAAACAACTGAATCGATTGCAAATTTGATTTGCACATTGTGTGCAATTTGATTAAATTTGAAAGATATGATAGCTTACATCTTAATGTATAGTCGCAATATTATTTTATTCAAGAAACTTAGCCACATCAACGCCTGGTTGAGTCTGCTAGTACACTATACAATATACATTAGTACAATATATTTTTGTGTACAATAATGGAATAGTGCACCAGACTATGTTCACGGTTTACGCTGCTTATATACCAGTGGAGTATAATAAACTGATTATGAGGTCAGATCAGTTTAATTTAGTTACCCTTTTGTGGTTAATTCACCAGGAATTTATGACGATGGTTTCCAGAGGGTACCACGTGGAAGTCAACCTGACATTGTACATTACAGTAGCATCGTTAGTCCACATTACTCTGACGGCCTCGGTGTTTAACTTTACATCCGAACGTCGCGGGTTCGATTCCTAGCATGGCACAATCATTTATATTCTTGAGTATGATTCTTTATATCGGTCTGGGTGTTTTCTATGTATATTATGTATGCTTTTACAAAAAAAAAGTATCTATGTATTTGTATCAGTTATCTAGTACCCATAAGCTCTGCTTAGCTTGGGACTAGATGGCCCTGTGTGAATTGTCCTGAAATATTATTACTCATTATTAGTCACTTATATTACTTAATTCCACGGTATATTCAACGGGTGTTAGCCCTAGTATCCCATTCGTTACGTTCAATGTCGGTACTACAGGTGCATCATGTAGATAAGCTTCACATTTGTTTGCATACTGGGAATAATTGTATCTTGTAATTTAATAGGACTACGGATAATAAGAATTTGACGTCAAACGAAACAAGGAGTCGGTAAGTCTTTATAGTACATCATTGTTAATATTGATTTCGTGGATTTTATACAACCTTTCTTAAATATCTGTATATATCATCATCATCATCTGCTTCTTCCTTATCCCATTTATTTGGGGTCGGCGTAATATCTATATTCTTAAATATCTGTATATATATATACTGAAAAATCTAAATCACGATATATAAAATCTCATTTCTGTATTACGCCCTCCTTGTATGTCCTTCCTTAACAATAATATCTAAATTCTAAAGAAATTCTTTAGAATCGAGTCTATATCTTTCAAACAAAATCAAAATAGTCTTAATGATTTAAAGTATAGAGATATTGTATATTATACTGTGATGTATTCATCACAATGGTATATAATACGACAATCTATACTAATATTATAAAGTTCAGCATTAGAGTTTGTTTCTTTGTTTGTTTGTTTGTTTGAACGCACTTATCTGAGGAACAACTGGTTCTAATTAAACAATTGTTTTTGTGTTGGATAGTCCATTTGTCGCGGAAAGCTTTAAGCTATATAACATTACGCTACGGCCGATAGAAGCGAATCATCAGTAAAAAATGTTGCAAAATCGGGGAAAATTATTCATATTTTAGAGCTTCCGTTGCGTGCGCTGCGCGAACAAAACCGCGGGCACAGCTAGTATGATATAATACGCAAGTGTAAGCAAGCGACGAGTTCTCTCGGACTAGTCAGTAGGTTACCCTAAGAATACTAAACTTTGTTATACAACAACATCGTATTTTTCAAACTATTATAATGCTGTTTGCCGCAGCTGGCCTTTACAACTTCACCAAACGTTAGGGGGTGAATGCATATGGCACACAAAACCCGCGGGCGGACTTATGGAACGGCTGAATGCCAACTTCTGCCTGACGCATGACTTTAATCTGAGGCACCTCTAGTGGCCGAACCTCAGCTCAGGCCATTGTAATTACGATCCCCGTTTGAATGGAACGGGGGGTCGATTAGAAGGGAAGTATCTAGTAGGAATCTTGTACTTTTAACTAAACATTGTCCGTGCCGATACCGCGTTCGTTTCCCACATTTGTACTTAGCTGTTACTACTGCTTACCGCGCGGCATAAGCAACGATACACGAAGACTATTCATTTTTTCTTTAACATATATGTAATTTACACTATGAGCGTTTAAACAGAACTGGACTGTACAAACAATATGGTGGTTCTATTTTTAAAATCAGTAGTTAGGTAGGACTGTTATGGTAAAATCCGAACTTATATCTTGTACTCAAAAATTAATATTATTATAGCAACTTTCTAGAACATATTTACATTTTGTATCATAATTATAATTAAATTAAATTTTTACTATTTATATATTTACTTTAAGTTTATAAGCTTAAATCATATTATTTACTAGTTGTATCCACGATATCATCCGCGTGGAATTTAACTTTATTTTTCTAAAATAAAAGTAGCCTAAGTTACTCCTTATTACATCAGCTACCTGCCAATAAAAGTCCCGTCAAAATTAGTCCCTCCATTTCAGAGATTCGCCGGAACAAACAGACAGATAGACAAAAATTGTAAAAAATGTTATTTTGATGTATGTACGATACATACACCAAAATTTATATTCATATGCATATAGTAAAAAACGATTATATCAATATTAGAAACAGACACTCCAATTTTATTTATATGTATAGATTATATAATTAGATTTAATCTTTACTATTTATATATTTACTTCAAGTTTATAAGCTTGAATCTTATTAATTATTAAAAATATATTGTGGTGGTTATCTCACTCAAATTAGATGTCGTTGTAGTCACTGAAATCGGGTTTAGCGGGGCACGCTGGCGAACGGTTGCTGTTGGCGGTAACACAACAAACACAGCAATCGACCGGCTTCGGAGTTCGATTGTCTGACTATTATCGGAAGTGTATGAGATGTTTAGAATATCAATGAACATACGGCCACCCATCAGGTTATAATGGTTTTAATGAACTCCGATCAACATTAGGTTGTTAGACCCAGTACTTTATGGAGATGAGCTGCATCATAAACCAAACTACTGGAATGGAACAATCACATACTATAATAAAAGTAGATAAGTAAATTTATTTCTTCATAGAAAGGATATGACGTTATATTAGGTGTGTATTATATATAATTAAAAATGTTTCTTGGAACTAATTCATAAATAACTACCTAAACATTTCCCATTTCATTTGGACTCGGCTCTACTACTCCTTATTAGTAATTTATTAATAAATAAATAATAATAAAAAATACTACTCGTTTGCAAGACATCTGTGTTGGATCGTTGAGTCGTTCATTACTGTTTCCGTGTCCACACCTAATATTTATTTTTTGAATAATTTTTTATTATTTTTTTATAATGTATCATTAAAAAACACATATTTCCATCAACGTTCCTTCTACCATCAACACCTATTTTTAATTTATATGATAAAACAACGTTTGCAGAGTCAGTTAGTAACTATTTAAATCTTATTGAGTTTTTGAAGTAGTAATAAATTGTATATGCCGTAATATCTTAGAGTAAAACACTACATTTCGATTTCAGTTTCATGTAAGTGATATGAAATAAAAAAAATGGACAAATTGCTCATCAGAATGAGTTGGGTTAATTACTTATATAATGAACGCTTTCAATACTCAATGAAGTCATTTCCAAATGTTAATTATATGAATTTTTAAGTGGATTCTATTCCTAAGTTATTTTTTTTGTGGATTTTACAAGTGGCCAGCAAATCAGAGTGAAAAAAAACCTTACTCCAAGAGCTTACCGCAGTGAGATACGATTTAAAAAGTTTACAATATAGACTCTTTTTTACTTTCATCTACTCTTTAACATGTGGCATACAATTTAATAGTAAAACGTTGCACTACTCTTAATTTTTTTCTGCCGACATTGTTAAGATAATATTCACAATAATGGGAA